ATTAGAATTAAATACATTTTTAAAGTCAATTCCTCATTCTCACTGGTCATATTTGAGTGTTTGATGGCCATATGTAGCTACTGGCGGCCTTACTGACACCACAGGTTAGAACATGTCCATTATCATAGTGAAGTCTCCTGGACAGTTGTACTAGCATGTCATGAATGAATGAAAGCTTGCTGAATATTTGCAGACACATGAGGAGAGATCACATTTTTATTTTTTATTTTTTCAGAACATACACTTTGATCTAAGCATGTTTAATTACTCACCTCTTTTCAGGAATGTGCCATCAATGTGTAGAATGATACCAACGTATATGTTGCCACTGGGAAGAGTCTTTCCGGAAGTCAAGTGGAATCACCATGTAGATGAAGGTAAGATGCTTCAAGCAGGCTTAGAGGATGAATTCTTCCAAGACATGAAATGAAACATTTCTTCCTAAGAAAGAGGTGAATGTATTCTCAAAAACAAAACAAACAAACAAACAAAAAACATTAAGTGAAGGTTTTCTGTGTGGGAAAAAGAAAGATATGAGTGAGATTCCTTGTCCCCTAGAACCTCTAGAAGGAAACACCTAAGAAGAAACAGGGAAGGTTTGGAAGCAGCTACTCTTCCTCTGGTTGCTGGTCGGTTTAGCCACTAACACTCGCTGAGCACACGGTTATTGAGATGAAGGAGGTGTGATCCCTCACCTGAAGTAGCTTAGTGATTTACTAATTGTTTATCTGTTAGGAAAACAGGCAGAAAACAGAAACTTTAAGCATAACTGTGAGGTATGTGAGCCCGAGGAGAGGCATCTCCACCATCAGAGAGTAGAATAAGGAAACACTTCCAAGAACAAGTTGTGACCCAAACCAAGCTGAGTCGCTGTTGCAAGCTCCCAGAAGACAGGGACCAGAGCAGCATTCTTCAGCTTTGCCTTACCTCCTTCCCTTTCCCCACTGCACCCATACCCACACACCCCAATCCTTGCACTCGATCACATTTAATATTTATTGAATGCATTAATTAGAATGAATAAACATGCCCAAAAAAGGAAAGAGGAGAAGGGCATTGCATGGAGAAGAATAACATGAAGAAAGTAGTGGCAGCATGACCTTGTGTGGGGTGTTCCAGGACATACCAACATGTAGTGCTGATGGAGTGTAGATTCGAGTGGATAGGATATGAGAACAGGAGCTGAGAGCAACTGCGGGGGCCAAGACTCGGAAGGGTCTTCTTGCTGCGATAAAAGTTTGGGTGAAGGCGGGGCTCAAATGGAATATTTCATCATAGGTGCATCAACATCAAGTTTGCATTATCAGAAGAATACTCTTGTAACACATATACTTAAATTAATGTTTTCTAATAAAGTCTCAATTTAATCAGCATCAGATCTTAGAACATTTTAACTTCATTCCAAACTCTCCCTAATCTCAGTTGTTATTGTCTGGTATTTTAGTTCTTGTTTGTATTAAAAATAAAACAAAGTTACTATTAATTTTATTCTGAACATTATTATAATTTTTCAATACAGTCAAAACTTATTTCTTTATTGTAACACATTCTTTTCTTCCGGAATCATTTTATTTTTTACTGAAGGACATGCTTAACCAGCAATTTCAATGAATCTATGGATAACAACTTTTCTAAGATCTTATCATTTTACTTTGTCTTTATTTCATACTTACCCTTAATAATTGATTGGCTGGGTACAGAATTAATTCCAGGTTGAAAGTTGTTTTCCTTTGCACTTTGAAGATAGTATTCTCAAGTTGTCATGTTTCAATTTTATTTTTCCATTATGAGACCATTCTGATTCTTGTTACTTTGTAGGTAATCATTGTTGATTTGTGGCTTTTAGGGTTCTTGCTTTGCTTTCTAAATTTCATTTATGGTGCGTCAATATGTACAATTTTTTTTTTTTACTAATCCTATTCAGTATTCAGTGGCCCTTTTTGATTCAGATATTTCTCTGGTCCCTTATATTCTTACATCCCAAAGTTTTATGTGGAGCTAATCAAAGGGAGGGTTCGGTGAGAGACGTCTTAAAGTCCTATGAACACCTACTGCAGTTCTCAAATTCTCTTGTCTGTTCTCCTACATTTTCCTCTCTCATCTCAAGTCTTAAAATCTTTACACAGTGCCATCGAGAGTGAGGGTTGGGGTGTGGCATAGGAGCAGAGGGAATCTACCTAATCACACATTTTGTCAAAATTTTTCTGTCTGACATCTGCACCAGGGCTTTTGATTTTAAGAGGCTTGGAGTTAATGTCTTTGTTCTCTGTTGTGCTGTGAAGCAATGCTGATTGCCATCTGTCTGCCTAAAGGGAGAGTGGCTTTTGTTAAAAACAGGTAGTGCAAAAAATAAATTCATCTGCTAATACCATCTTTCTGTATACACGTTAGGAAACCGAGGCTCAGAGAGGTTCAGTAGCATGCCCAGTGTTACACAGTGAGTGAGTAACAGAATTAGGACCACAACCAAGAGCCATAGGAAACCCAATCTTATGCTCCTCCTCTAAAACATCATCGGGACGTGAGAGGGTCTCTAAAATAGTCTTCGTAAACCCTAAAAGCATTACTCTCTCATGTTCGACCATGAACTTACACACCGGCTGGAAAAATCCAGCAACAAAGGCTGAGTAGCATTTTTAAAACAACACTGGACTGGGAGCAAGGAAGCCTGGCTTCTGATACCAGCTTCACCCATAACTAACTACAAATTAAACTAGTCATGATATTTCTCTGGACCCTGGATTTCTCACCGGTAGAACAAAAGAGTAAAATTTTGTCATTACCATGGTCCTTTCCAGACTTAAAGTTTCCAGACATAAAGGTCCTTTATAGACTTAAGTCTCTAGTTTGAGGCTGAATGATCTCTGTCACCTATGACCTAGTTTAATCGTTTGCCATCCATACTAGAAAGGAAAATTTTGTTACCCTTTTCAAATAGCCTATTTCTCAATAACACTGTGATTTAGCAAACAGAGCTAGATTTGGTGTCAGAAGGCCTGGGTTCAATGTCCAGCTCCACCACGGACCAGCATGTGAACAGGGCCAGGTTTCCTAATGGATCTTAACCTTGGCTTCCTGAGTGCGTAACGCGGATGACTGCTCTGTGTTGCTCAGGGATTTCGTTGGGATCTCATTTGATGACTTAAATGCAAACACTTTATTGTAAAATATTCTATCAGTGTAAGCTACTTTTACCTAATTGCCCTCCATTAGAATAAGATTTCAGTGCCTTGTAGATATCTGAATTGTAGATATCCAAGGAAAAGATGCCTGCTGGGGGGAGACAGGGCTCGTGCTCTAGGGAGGAGATCCTGTAGGTGCACCTCAATCTCACCACATGGGCCATAACCTATGTCCAGCCCTGATGGCAAATTCTTTCTGCAAGGATAGACACATGATTCTTTAGAGTTGAAGAGGGATGTTTTTCAAGAAAGGAAGGAGAAATAAAGGAAAAGGGAGACAAAAGAAAAAATAAAGGGAGAGGAAGATGATAGGATATTGTCAGTTTTGATAATGGGATGTAAAGAAAAGGTTTGCACACAGGGAGCGGTTCCTTTCCTGGCTATTGAAAGCACAACTTGCATACATTCTCAAGCCATCTCTGATACGGTTCATTTTCTTAACCGCAGATAAGGTTTATATGGATGTATTATTATCTGTAAACAACATTATTGGTCTATGATTAAAATAAAGGTTATTAATTCCTGGGCAAGAAGATATAAGAGCTCCAGAAACTTTGCCTGGGACCATGCAAGACACTGAAGAAGGCAGAGATCCTCAAAGCCTTAGTTGCCAACCAGGTAATCCTCCCTGCAGTCGAGGGTGGAGGGCTTTCTTTGAATATCTGTTTTCTTCTGCCAGCTATTAACCAGGCCAGACAAATTATAGCTCTAAGGATGTTAGCCATGCTTTCTGTTGTTGCATTGTTTGATTTGAATCACTTATTTTCACTTTTCTCTCATTGTAAAGAGCATTGGATGTGGCGTCGAACAGTGTTGAGTTAAATCATGGCTCTGCAGTCCGGTAGCTATCAAACTTTGGGAAAGTTACTTAATCTCAATGAATGTCAGTTTCTTCATCTATAAATAAGTTAATGATAACTGCAGTGTGGCCTAGTTATGAGGGTTAAATGACATGGCATACAGTCATTCAATGAATACCAGTTATTAATAACTAAAAATCATTTATAGATTAATCGAAAAATGCTGTACCTCCCTTCCCCCAGACAGTCAGCTTGACAGAAAAGTGATAACAATTTGCATTTAAAGGGGTTTCAGGACACTGAAAATACCCTGTTACTTGTGGAAGGAAAGTTCAGCAAAGGAGTGCAAGGTTCATGCCATGATTAAGAAGGGGTGGGGGGAGGCATCACAGCTCCACACTCTTCATCCTTTGTCCCCTTCTCTGTTAACGCTGCATTGAAGTGTTCATATGGACCCCAGATTAGATTTCCTAGGAAAGTTTTCATTTCAAATAGCATATTCCACCGCTCCCCTTAAGCAACCTGTTATTTGAAAGTTAGCCCATATATCCTGATTTGGGGATCATAAGGAATGGTCAAATGAGAATTCAAGGAATTGCTCATCTTAATAATTATTTGGAAGGAAAATCCAGAACTCAGTTCCATGGTTATGCTAAAATAAAGCCCAGAGAGATGAAAATAAAAAGGGATATAGATGAATATATATATATAATCACTTTATGTGACAGTGATGACCAGTCTTTCTTATACAAATTCCAAAAATTTTAAGGGAAACCATAAAAATGATAATATAATTTTTAAAAATCCAAGAATGGCAAAAAATATAAATAAGAGAAAAATACGAACTGGGAAATACTATTAGCAATATGTGAAAGACAATAATTATACAAAAAAGATCTTACAAATCATTGACAAAGAAACAATGAAATAGAAAAATGTACAAAGCTATAAACTGAAAATATGCAAAAGAAACATAAAAAGCTAATCATTATGTGAAAAGATGTTTAATTTCATTAGTAATTGTAAAGTATTAAAAGATACTAAGGTTTTTCTTTAATATACCAAAATTTTTTAAAAGTTGGCAAAATTAAGTTTTCATTGGAAGTTTGGGTAACCAATATTCCCGTGCATTATTAGTGGGATGTGTGGTATAGTCAGAGGGCATTTTAGGACAAGGGTACCAAAATGACAATGTGCATGATCTGTAATGCTGCAACCCTGCATATGTGAATTTACACAAGGAGAAATTTAGACTGCATCAAATTTATGTGAATACAAGAAAATTTATTACAATCAATCTATTTCTGAGAAACAAAACCAAGTTACAGAACGGCATGATTCAATTTATGTAAAATTGTACAAAGAGAGATGTCTATAGGCTATTCACCAAATTATATGTCTAGGAGATGAGATTTCCCTCTTATTTTCTAGTTTTGCATTGCTATTTTATAAATAATAACTTATGTATTTTTTGATAATGGGGAAGTATAATAAAGCTATTTTCTTTAAAAAAAAAAGTGACATCCACTAAGTATAAGGAAAAGAATGCTAAACGGAAGTCAGACTTGCTTGTAGCTGGTGACCATGAGCAAGTGACTTCATACCTACCCATGGACGTCAGGTTTTTCTCATCTGTAAAATGTGGATATTGAACCATATGTTCACTTTTAATCCTAACATTAAAAACTTCAGTGTTGGAACCACTTGATTTGATTTTCTTGACCGTAGAAAGCCCATCACCACCTCATCTGTGAGAGAGCTTGTCTTGGACCCCTCTGCTGGTTCTCCTGAAAATAACAGGGGCAGGCTCTTCACAGTTTACAAATCATAGTCCACTGTAGATAAGTCTCTGGCTCTGGCCCACAAGGCCTTGCAGGTGAGAACAAAATCTCATAAGTTAAATTTTTTTCATCTCCATGTTTAACTTGAGATTCCGTTCATTGTAAAATCTGGATTGAGCCAGAAAAACACTGTATCCTTTTCCTCCATATGTGTGTGATATGGCAGCCGAATTCCTGGGTCCTTCTCACCAGTGCAAATGTGTTTAGATTTGCAGATCTAGGCAAATCCAGGAATTTCAAAGAAAAACTTGCAAGGACTCTGAGATCCTTGCAGTAGAGGTGTCCTCAGCGAAGAGGAAGATGGCTTCCAAAGTCATGCAGCTGCTCCTACTGCTCAGCTTTGTGGCCAATCCTGAAGTCCTGGGTGGTGAGTACCCATCGCTTAGCTGAGATTGAGCCCACAGTTAATGTTCACACAGTGCACATGACACATCCATCCACTCACCCTATGAGAAAATATTTAGGCACTGCAGGAAATAAATTTTAAAGATGGGAATGAAAAACAGTGTGATGTGGTAAAAAGTTTAAGGACTCTAGAATCAAACAAAATTCAACTCTGTATGATTGTAAGCCATACTAAAATAATCAATGAAGTGTAAATTATAATATTATTTTTTTGAGCTCATTGTGAAGGGTAGAGTACCTGACACCTAGTAGACTATCAATAAGTCATAGCTGTAATTAAAATTTCCCAATATTCATCCACTATTTTCCTTTTTGAGCATATCAGGGATTCCCGTTTGCAACGGACCTACAACCTAGTTGGAGAGCTGGCTCTTACACACTTATAAACCAAGCATCAAATGCAAAGTAGCATGTCAACAAGTTAGTAGCAATACTTTAGAATCTACCAATGGAAAGCACAGTGGAAGAAAACCGTATGAGTGAGCTAAGGCTATCATGGAACACCTGAAATGGAAGGAAATGAAATGTGGGCTAATCTGGTGTAACTCTGTTGCTCTATTTATGAGGAAAATGAGATCTAGAGAAGGGGAGAGACTTTTCCAAGGTCATACAGCAAGACTATGTGATGCCCTGGCTCCTAGTCTTGGGTGACTTTTGCAGTCCTACAAGGCCTTGCTGGGAGTTGCTTGTGGAAGAGTGAGCGAAGTTCCATGCTTGAGTGTCACTTCTGCTTGAGAAGAGGGCCTCCTGAGGGCCCACTGCTGTCTGTAACTTAGCACTTCTCCCACTGGGGAATGTACTTGGCCAAGGAGAGGATCCACAGGGAGGAAATACTAAGAGAAGCAAGGTTCTTTGGGCATCGTGTTGGCTCCCATGGCTGAAGTCTGTGGTCCTTGCCATAGCCTACCCTTGACATGTCCTTGTAGTCCAGAGCTCTCTGCCCCTCAGCTCCACTCCTGTTTCCAGCCACCAATTCTCTCAACCATCTATGGCTGTTTAGGACCTGTGGAACTCAGCCACCTTCTCTGAACCATGCAAGAGTGTGCAAGACTCTGGGAAGCTGCCCTTGAGCCACTCCTGCAGAGCTGCCTTTTGTGGCCATTTCTACATGGCCAGGTGGTTCCCTGCTGCTCTGATTTTGTGCTGACCTCAGGCTTCCTTAAATGGGCTTGAAATTTGCCCAAGCTATGTCCTGGGGAATGAGATACAACCACCATCCTCACCCCTGGGATCTGACCAACCTCCAGTTTCTCTCCCCGGGAAGAGGTGCAGCCAGAACATTCATCACAGGTCCTTCTATTGCCCTTTCTGGATAGATCTTCCTAGCTATAGAAAGATTTTCTACTTAGTATCTTGGGGGAACATCCCTTAGGAGATATTCTATATGGTCTTTGCACTACCACTTAATGGAAAAAGTCTAATCTTGCACTTAAGGGAACTGTGGGGGATTCAGAAATCAATTTTCTCTCTCAACAAGACCTGGTGGTGAAGAGTATAGTTAGTTCTTATTGCCATCACAGTGATTTCTCTGCTGGCCCGTAGCTGCTCTTCCCCTGAAGCAATGCATGCCATTGATTCAATGAAGGGAGAGACAGGAGCAACATAATTTATGGACAATAGAAAATGTCAGTTGGTTAATATTTTCAAAAATATTGCATAATAATAATGATGATGGTTTTTAATAGCTACAATTTTTTAATTAGCTACTACTTACTGAACAACTGCTACATATTAGGCTATGTACTAATGACTACACATGCATTGTTTCAATTAGTCCTCCCAGCAACCCTATGAAGAAGGTATTTGTTGTTGGTCCCCATTGTACAGACAAGAAAACTAAAGCTAAAAGAGATAAAATACTGTTCCCAAGGTCACACATCTAGTAAGCAATGGAGTAGAGAGACTATTAGAGTTGTCCAGGCAAGATCTGGGAGCTGAGACCTCCTGACACTGCATGTGTAGTGATGAGGGGCTCTGGCACCATGAGAACTGGGGTCAGAGATCCAGGGCTGCTGAGGACACGTTGGCTCCTCTTCCGTTCCCACCTCACTCCCCAACTGGGTGACCTCAGCAGGTCACTCAACTTTCTGAGGAGGTTTCCTTATGTGTACAATGGAAATGAATATCCACCCCTATCTCTCAGGGAGACCCTGATAATTAAACAAGGTAACCTGAATGAGCCTGCTTGGCCCATACAGAATTTAAAACCAATAACTCGAGCATAATGACTAAGACGGCTAAGACTTGGAGTCAGACTATCTGGGGTTGAATCTTGCCTTTATTGCTTATTTGCTGTGGGACCCTAGGACACGACAACTTCTTTCTGCCTTCATTTCCTTATCCAGAACATGGGGATAATGACAGGGCTATCGTGAAGATGATTAGAATATATGTAAACTGCCTGAAACTGTGCCTGGTATGTAGTAAATTCTCAATAAACATATGGAATAGTGGAAGGCAGAGCAGCAGTTAGTTGCATTTGTAGGAGTTAAACTGTCTCCACCAGGGGGTGCTCAGCCAGAGCGGCGATATTGCAGGGTGAGGGGCAGAAAGGAGAGGGGAGATTGGGGGAGGGTAGATGAGAGTTAGAGACATAGGTGAAGGAATCATACACAAGGACAGACACACAGGCACAGAGACAAGAGAGACAGAGACAGGGACAGAGAGTGCAAAGACAGGGAGAGAAAAATAGACACAGAGATGCATACAGGGAGAAAATCGAACAGAGAGATGGGCAGAGACAGAGAACAACACTCAAACAGAGACACAAGAGAGACAGAGAAAGGAGAGAGAGAGATTATCGACAGTTGGCTTAGAGTGTGATCTTGCGCCACCTTTGTCCTGACCTGGTCCAGGGCCTCCGTGTGTATCCCTAGGACTCTGCTCTCACTACCTGGATTCAAGGGAAATGAAGACCATGGTCATAGAGGATGCGTCCTCACATGTTTGTCCAGAGAATGCCAAGCAAAGTCACCTTAGAGTGCACAAGAGAATCACAATGAACTGAATTAGGGACATCAAGTGTGATGTCAGGGGTCCTTGTCCTCAGACGCAGGGCCAGAGGTTTGGGCTCCTGTTTGCCACCTTGTCAGAATGTGCTCGCCAGTGTTAGTGGAAGGCGTGCTTCCTAACGTCTCTCCAGGCTGCGCCTCCGGAGCTTCAAGCCCGTTTCGTTATCTGTCCCTTTTGGAACGACAATCACTGGCCAGCCTCCTCTTAACAAGATCAATTTTTTACTTTTAGAACCAAGGATCTTCTTTGCCTTCTTTCCTCCTGATAAAATAACTGAGGCATCCCAACCCTCTAATTACTTCTGTTGCTAAATTTCTAATTTCTTATTTTTTCACGCTTATAAAGGCCAAAGTTGGGAAAGTCGATGGCAGGAACATAGGTTTTTAAGTCATAAAACGAAATCTGTAAAGTAGCTTTTTCATCTTACTGTGTGGCTTGGGCAGGTGACTACCTTAAGCTGTTTCCTTCCCTCCCTAAGCTGTTATGAGGAAAAAGTAGTGTGGGTTAGCTGCTCAGCGTGGTACCTGGCACGAAGAAAGCACCTTACAGATGCAAGCTGGTGATAGTGGTCGTAGTAGCAGCAATGCCGTAAAGCCTTGCTTTTTATTTAACGTAAAATTATGTCCATATTTCGAAAGGTAGTAGAAAGTGAGGCTTTTAAATACATGAATGTCTTTGCTGTTTGTTCCTAGTATCTTTGAGGTACCCCTCGAAACCTTTTCTGCTAGGTCTTAGCGAGGTTAGTCATTATCCATCATTCACAGATACAAGGAGTAGGACACGCAAAGGATCTACATCTGTAATAAGCATCATGTTCCAAACAGAGCCTGGAGTGCTGCATAGAAGGATGCAGCTGGATAGATTGATACAACCAGGTTGTAAAATCTCTTAAATGCTAGATGAGCAGGGAGCCTATTTCAAAGCAGTGGGGAGTCCTTGGAGATTTATAGGTGGAGGATGAAATTAAATGTAAGAGTGGGGCAAACAAGTTACAGTAGTGTCATTTGAGTGGGGCGAGAGGAAACGCAATGGTGACAACTATAGTCTGTGGACATCCACTGTGGAAGGAAAGACCCTGGCATCCATCTATGGTGTCAGAGTATAGCCACATTGCCACAAAGCCCAGACTTGCTAGGTTGGCATCCCCTTCATCCAGCCACCTCCCCCTCTTCATAAACCTGCAGATTCAGTGACGTGGCCCATGCGCCAGCTGACCAGCAGGAAGAGTGTGGGCATCCCTGAATCACTGCTTCCTTGGCTTCCAGGCCCTGACTCTTCCCAATTCCTTTCTACCACGGTTGCCTGACAGACAGCCTGTACTTAAGGCAAACTTAGGTGCTCGCTGTTTCCGTGTGCGCCTTGTGCATTCCTGTCTCCACTCGTCTGCCCAGACCATGCCCTTTGCCCAAAATGCTCCCTCCTTGATACTGATACACAGCCCAGCTAGTCTCAAGCTCCAGCCAAACGGCCATCTAACCTGTCCCATGTCCCCCCGCCAAAAGACGTCTCCCTGCTAGTAATGCCTAAAACCACCAATTCATGCCCCTTATCCATTCTTCTGCTGCCTTAAGTTATAGTTGTTTGACCTTCACTACCAATGTAAGACTCCACCAGCTGCTGAGTATGTCTATTCCAATTATGCATTCTGGACTGGAGAAATAACCACAGGGTATGTTCTGGGGACCCACTGGACCCACTGTGAGACAGACTGAGCTAAAACTCTATCAATCACCTGACTTCCATAACCCATACTCTGGCTGGGGACCACAGTGACATTTTGGGTCTCCTAGAATTAGTGTCAGTTCAGATCCAGTGTCCGGGAATCCCAGAAAAGTCTGATTGCTTAACAAAGCACAGTCCCTCTGGTAAAAGGCCATAGGTCCCTTTGGAGAAGGCTGGGAGAAAGATTAACACAATAAATTTTTGGCAGAGTAGCAAGGTCCTCCCTGAAGGGACTCTTTTTCCATTCAAGGGATTCTGGATTTGTAAACTGCATCGAGCCTGGAAACAGATTGATTTTTCTGTCATAACTTGTAATCACCTTTTGTTTGTGTGCAGATATCATCATGAGACCCAGCTGTGCCAGTGGATGGTTTTACTATAGACCCAATTGCTATGGATACTTCCGGAAGCTGAGGAACTGGTCGGATGCTGAGGTAAGAATTTGCTTCCTGCTGGCCTGGCTTCTGTAGAGCAAGGGGCCAGCCTGAGCCCCAGATCTCATCTCGTGCAGGAGCAGGGTCCTACCTCGGCACTCTCAGGAGAAGCTGCCTGGTTGGAGAAGCGGAGAGACTGATTCGATTTTGTGAGCATTGATGAAGCGGGTGCTATATGCCCAGACCCGGGCTGGGCTGCAGAGACATAAGGATGAATAAGAAATGGCCCCTGCCCTCAACATGCTCACTGTCACTAGAGAAGACAAAAATATGCAAATCAAGGAAGGATAAGAAGATGAGGAACTTACAGAAAGAATAACCAAATTTTTGTACGAGATTTGCCAGAACGAGAGCTATGTGTAGACAGGCCTGGAACAGACGCCTCGGAGCCGCCCGACAGGTGCAGCGTCCAAACACAGGGAGGGAAGGGCCCACTGTCTATACAGCCCGCAGACGCCGCGATTTCACTTCACTGAGGCTTCGTCTAAGAGATAACCAAACAGACAGTCAAAGTCAGTCCCCTCAGCCGAGTGTGGGGAGTCAGTGCTGTCGTCTCCGAATTGTTGGACTGAAGTGACCGACTGGGGAGACCTGTGGGTACACCGTGGTGTGATCTGGCCTGGATGGCCTCAGAATCCCTGTGTATAACTCAACAGTGAAAAAAGAAAAAGCAAGGATGGACACCTGCCACACGACAGCTACTGAGGATAAAAAGGATTCTCTGACCTTAAAAAGTCCAGGGTTAATGCAGGATTGTGACATATAAATAGAAAATTCAATGTGGTGTGAGCATAAATGACTTTCCCAAGATTACACTGAAAGTAAATAGCAGAGCAAACCCAACAAAGTCTGTGCTAAGTCCCGAATAATTGTATAAAAAGAGAGAGAGAAAGAGGGGGAGAGAGAAAGTGTTGAGAAAGGATTTCCCAGACTCTGCCCGAGGAAGGGAAAAGCGCTCACGGAGAGCCGTGGGCCTTCCCCTCGGTTCTCGGGGAGTAGCTTGATGAAACCTTGAAAGGACACTTGTGCTTCCCGTCTCCAGAGACGACAGTGCTAATTCTGTGTCGTCTGAGGAACTTGAGGAACCCTGCGATAATATCGGCCTGCGTTTAAAGCACACTCCACCACTCGCTGGGTGTTTTTCTACCTCACTTTACCTGTCCCCATACTATAACACGGGATGACACTTTCCACCTCATGGCTGGTGGGGAGGATTCTTTAAAACGACTTGCATAGAGCACATGGCACATGTCAGATGCTCAACTCAGATTCTCAAAGAACGAACCACCCATAGGATTAATTCTGAGCCTTCGCAGAAGTTATCAAGCCCAGACACAGAGAGCCTAGAGGGCGCTCAGAAAGGAGGGCCAGAGGGCCTGGAACTGACTCCTCCCTGTGCTGCTGGCCAGCCCCAGCTCCTGGACTCCAGGAAGCTGATGGAGGGAACGGTGAGAAGCACATGCAGATCTGGTCACAGGCTTTAGAGGCAAAGGTCTGAGTTCTAGTTACAGATCCGTCACTACCAGCTGTGTGAACTGGGGGGGAGGAAATCACGTAAATCACTTCTTGTCAGGTAGACACATCCTGTAACACAACTCCAGAAGAGTATAAAATAGAATTTTTACGCACACGCACACACACATAAAAATATTTGCCCTGTTTAATTGAACAATAGATTTCTAGTTATAGGACAAGAATTAATCATGTTATGTGTTCCATACCATCCTTATAACAGTGGATGATTATCATTTATTAATCTATAAGAAAAATTCAGATCGCACATCCTTGGATATGAAAGAAGGTAGCACCTTCGCAGAGGAAGAAGGAAGAAGTAAGAATTGGGGATCAGTATAAAGACATGCAGGAATAAAACAGATTTGGATTTAGAGCTGAAACTTTTACAAGTTATAGCTGAGCAGCTAGTTACATATCAGCCTCTAGTGCAGCTTACCTGGTGGGAAGAAACCCCCAAATTTGACCAGATGTGATGGCGTGGCTACCATCGAGGAAAGGCAAATGAACAGGTACAACCTTCAATTGGCCGGTGAATTCCAGGGACCTGGGAATTCTAAACCAACATATCAAGGAGTCTCGTCTCCTCTCCTCTACCTCAGATTTTAGGCAATTTATCCTATACTTATTTGGTAGCAAGTAAAAATAAGTTAAAGACCACGGTTTATAATTTACAATGTGTTATTCTTGTGTAACACAGGGTAATAATAATTTAAAATAGAAAAGACATAGGCCTGGGAGTTAGGCAGGCGCAGGCTCTATGCCAGTGTCTATCCCCGTTTCCTGATGCTCCATTTCCCCATTTGTAAGCTAAAAGTGGGCCCTACTTCCTAAGACCGTTGTTAGGATTAAACACGATAGCATATGGAAGGTGCCCAGCGTATTGGAGGTGTCCGGCGAAGAGCACTACCGAATTAGCTGTTCCGCAATGCACATTGCATTCACATCCTAACACCTCTGAAATCAGATGCGTGCTATAGACAACAGTGTGTCACAGATTCATTGGCAGTGATTTTTTTCTTTCTTTCTTAGTGGGATGTAAAATAAGGGCACATTTTACAATCAGTGGTTTCTTAGACTTGTTGAAATGCAGTATTATATTTAGCCCTCCTGAAAACCCTGAAGTAGCGGTCATTATTTTCTCCATTTGACAGATGAGAACACTGAGCCTCAGAGAGGTAAAGTGACTTGTCAAGGTCACATACACTAATGAGGGGCAAGGCCAGGACCCCAGGCATTTCCTCTGACCCTAAATCTCTTGCTCTCGCCTTGAGCTGTCTCTTCCTCTGAGACCTGAGGCTGCAGCAGTTGTGTTTTCTCCCGTGGTGACAGGAAGTCTGCTGTGGGGGTTAGATGACAACTTCTGGAGGAGGCGGGGCTGTGCGAGTCCATTCTGCTTGGCACACGAGGGTTCTGCCGAGAAGGCTGTGCTTTTAAACCTCAAGGCATCATTAATGGGACCTCTCCTTGCATGTAGCTCGAGTGTCAGTCTTATGAAAACGGAGCCCACCTGGCATCTATCCTGAGTTTAAAGGAAGCCAGCGTCATAGCAGAGTACATAAGTGGCTATCAAAGAAACCAGCCTGTATGGATTGGCCTGCATGACCCGCAGAAGGTAACCTCAGATCTGGCCCTCAGACACAGCATTCTTGGGAAAGCCGGATGAATAGCCCCATTCTGGGAAACGGCCTCCCGGCCTACTAACAAGGGTGGTGGATCTTGAGTCGTGTGCCTCCAACTGATGGAGACCGAGGCCTCAGGTTTAGGGACCCACGTCTTGCTCTCAGTGGAGAACAGGATTGAAATGGCACCATTTTATAGAGCTTCTGTTTAATTAGGGTCCTCCTGAATCTTAGAACACAAAATTACCAGCTTTCCAGAGCCTTCGAAGAAAAAAAGTTTATATAAGTATATATGCGTGTGTGCGTGTGTGTGTGTATACACAGACCTGTTATGAGATTCGGATTAATTAAATCCCCGTTCAATCTTGAGTTAAAGTTGAAAACTTTCAGCTAACATTTTTCGTAGATGTTCTGACATTTATTATGTTATCCTTAATGTTTTTCACTAGACTCTCAGTGTTCTCTCAATACCTTATTGTAAGAAATGGCATGTGAGGTCTTTTTAACGAGGGGGTTTGCGGTTTACAGATGCGTTGTTAACTCACACAAACATGGGGAACATAAGGACAGAGTTCCCATACTTTCTGTCTCTTGATAAAACTCCTAAAGATACCACACATTCACACACCCTCTTTCACAAATGTGTGTTTATCCTTTAGTATTCATCTATAAATATATCTTCATGCTTTTCTCTTCTTGAACATTATGTTATAGAAAAACTAGTAATCCTTTGCCATAGTTGTTACAAATATTTTATGCAATTATTTAGCTTTTAATGGTGTTTATTTGACTATCAGAAATTTTACGTTTTTCGGTATTCACATTGCTATCAATCAGAACTCTGTCATGCAGAGATAGGGTATTTACATCTATGTCTGTAAGATATTTTTTGTGGTTTAATCTTTTACATTTGTGATTGAAGAAAATAAGTGGCAAATAAACATTCTAAAAATTGTGCAATGTCTCTAGTAATCAAAGAAATGCAAATAAAAACAACAATGTAATTTGACTTTTCAGATTATCAAACTTTTGCTTTGTCTTAATGAATAACATTTTTAAGGATATGGAGAAATTGTCCTTGTGCCCAATTGGTGAGGATGTAAATTCCTAAAATGGAACTATTTTTGGAAAGTACTTTGGCAATGCATATCAATAACCTCAAAATTTTATACTCTTTGACCCATTAACTCTACTTCTGGGACTCTATCATAAGGAAATAACTTTTAAGTGCAGAAACAGGTTTATGAACAAAGTTGTTCATAGCAGTTTTCTTTATAATAATTGTACATTGGAAACAACATTCCTGTCAAGCAATAGAAGAATATTAAGGTAAATTATAGTACATCCTTACCGTTAAAAAATGTGCAGAAAGCAAGACACAAAACTGAATATATATTTTAAAGATCACATTTTTGGTACATAAATATGTAATGATACAGGAAAAGGTTTATACCTGAAGTAAATATGCTAACGTTTTCCTCTTAGTGGTTGAATGGAGTGACTTTTCTATTTTTCCTTCTTTATGCATTTCTGTTCTTTCCCAGTTTTTACAATGAAAACTAAGTTTTAAAGGGGACTAAGGGGACCACTTTGGCTGTGAGCAGGAGGGGCGCTGACCTGTGATTTCTTCCACCTCCTGTTGTCGCAGAGGCAGCAGTGGCAGTGGATAGATGGGGCCACGTACCTGTACAGACCCTGGTCCAGCAAGGCCACAGGTGGGAGCAAGAACTGTGCAGAGCTGAGCTCCAGTAACAGTAAGTTCCAATGTGTCCTCCCTCGCTGCTCCCCAATTTGCAGCCCTTTCTCTTCATGTAGGAAGGACGAAAACGGACGTGGGGGCCCTCCCTTCCTACCCGCCCCATTTCACATGGGGCAACACTTTTCTCCCGCAGGACACTGGCCTTGCCACAGACATTGCTTACCAACCTTCAGTCCTTTGTGACCACTTTCTAATCGTTGCCATATCAGTGTACCAGCTGTTCAGTTATTGAGTCAATATTTTCTTTAAATCCACTCATTTTTTCTTAAATACATTTATTTTAAAATCATATTGTATACTATGAGAGGGACAGCCATCACATTTTGGGAAACAGACCACAGGGAGTAAATATATGTGGTAAAATTAGGTGATTTCCTTCTGACTTCTTTAAAAGCGGGGTTCCCCAGGAGTCCTGGAAACCCAGTCTTTGCCTAGGTACTTCCCTCTTGTTTGTTTCCCTGACTCCTGACCCCAGAATGAGTGGCCAGAACGCCAGCTGCAGGCCGTACACGATCACTTGAGCTATCTCCTTTCCCCAGCCTGCTTTCGTTCTTTACTCTTCATGCTAATAAGTCTGGCACTAATGACATCTTGGGCTGGATAATTCTTTGTTGTGGGGGGCTACCCTGTACACTGTAGGAGATTTAGCAGCATTTGCAGTCTCTACTCAGTAGATGCCACAACCTTCCCATGTTGTGACAACTGAAAATATCCCTAGGTATTGCCAAATGTCCCTGTGGGGGGCAAATTTGCACCCCGTTGAGGACCATAGCTAAGAAGAGATATGGAAGATTTCAGCTGTAAAACAAGAACACAGAATATTAAAATGAAAAGGATACTTGCCGTTTGAGAACATCCCAGTGGGTATAACAGGTCATCCTAGTGACCTGCTACCAGGACCCCCTGCCAGCTAAGAAGTGGGCCCGGGATGGGGCCCAGCCCGAGGACTCGGGTACTGGGGCTGAGGTAGAGAGAAACCCAGCTGCTCCCACAGGACATGGAGCAGAGTTTACTGTTTTCTGAGGAATAAACCTTGTGAGCATGAACAAGAAAGCAAGAAATTTTCTAACGACAAGGGGCGAAGGGTGGATATGAGGAGACAGGCTCCAAGGAAGACCTTCAGAAATAAAAAGCCAGAGAAGGGATTTTCACAGCCCAGCAGAGACCACAGTGGCTGCTGTTCAAGGCACAAGTCAATTCAGATGGAAGGAACACAACCAAGGCCAGAAGGTAGAAGCTACTAATGTGGATTTCTAACCAAATGAAGGAAAAAATTTTGAACGGTTAGTACTGTTCAAACACATAATGGGCTACTCCAGGAAGTAGCGAGAAACCCATCACTAGAGTTAACCAAGAAAAAGGTAGACCTTGTAGTTTTTATTGCAGTCGAAGCATTAAAATGTTAGAAGAGAAGCTCAATGGCACAAAAGCATCAAATGAGGAACATCTTAAAAATAAAAATCCCAGGGATTCTCTTTTCGGACCTATACTATCTGACTCTCTGGGACTGGATGCCAGACCAGCTTTTGGGAGGCAGCAGACCAGATGCCTCCCTACGTCACTCCTATCCCCAGGATCCTGAGATTCCTACTGGACAAGGTTCTCAAACAAAACCCTTTCCCTATCAGTCCATGAGCATATCAGCAAAGTTCCGCAGTGAACCTGCCTGTGTCGTATCGCTGGGAACTAGAAGCCTGATGTCGTCTTGAGAACGCCACGACTTTGGGTTCCTTCCTTTCCCACGTTTACTCACCCCAGGCCGTGGCTATCAGAACACAGGATCCTATGAAGGAAAAACACAAGGAATGAAGCAAGGATTGGAGAAAAACTGGTGGAAGGTGGGGTTTAAAAGCACATCACTCTTAGCCCCATCAACGTCATTTTATTTTCGTATAATGGATTTTGCCCCAGACTCAGTTGCTAATTTTTTTTCTTAATTCAAAAGGTATGATATTCATGTCCCAATACATAGCCGCACATTCATTCTCTTTCCCTCTGTGCCAGGACCCATTTCTTTGTTTGTATCTATTTAGAAAGAACTAAGGGGCACTTTATTCTGTGTCCTGCTCTCACCCTTTCTGACCCTCCCCTCTCTATCCCAACGTAACTGCTTTGTGTCTCTGGAAAATTGCAGCTCACAGAATTTCCTGACTTACCTACTGGTTCACTTCGAGACATTTCATAATGATAACTAGAGCTTTTCAGTTAAAAAAAGTTCATATTCAATATAATTGGTAGTCAAGGGCATGGATGCCGAATTCTGAATGCCCGGGGTATTCAGCTTCTCCACTTCACTGAGCTGTGTTACCATGTGCAGATTTCTTATTTCTCTGTGCCTCAGATGCCTCCATAAAAAGGCGGAAATATCACCATCAAATTAGTATTAACTGATCAACACTTAAGTGCATATATAGTGATAACATTCATCGGGTGTCGGGCAGATGGGAGGGGGAGGAGGGGATGGGTATATTCACACCTAATGGGTGCGGTGCGCACCGTCTGGGGGATGGACACGCTCGAAGCTCTACTCGGGCGGGGCAAGGGCAATCTACGTAACCTAAACATTCGTACCCCCGTAATATGCTAAAATAAAAAATAAATAAAAAGATTTAAAAAGGGGGAAATAATGGTACTGATCATCCTAATACATGCAAAGTGCGAATCACTCGAGGAATTGGCTCATGCAGTTGCGGGGTTAGCAAGTCTGAAATCCACGGCTCAGGTCAGCTGGTGGGAAATTCCTACAGGAGGTGACGCAGTCTTGAGTGCACAGGCAGTCTGGAGGCAGAATTCCTTCCTCTTTGGCGACCTCGGTCTTTTCTCTTAAGGCATTCAACTGATGGGATGAGGCCCACTCATGTGATGGACGGCAACCTGCTTTACCTGAAGTCCATTGATGTAAATGGACCTCATCTAAAAAATACCTTCAACATCTAGACTGGGTTTGACCAAACAACTGGTGCCATAGCCTAGCCAAGTTGACACATGAAATCAACCATCCCATGACCTTAGGCATGACTCCAAGCAAAACACCCAGATGATCTGGTCAGCTCAGTACAGAAGCAGGTGAATGTAAATGTCTGTTTATTTTCTTACAGACTTTTTAACTTGGAACAACAATGGATGCAACAAGCGCCAGCATTTCCTGTGCAAGTACCGACCATAGTGCAAGAATCAAGACTGCCGCCCCCTGCACGGCTCCTTTCCTCTCCCTTCTCTGTCACACTGGCTAAGTTCGATCATTATCTCAGAAAGTAAACCTAGCAACTAAGAGACCCTGATTGCACTGACTTTTTAGGCTCAGAGATAGAGATGTTAGCATTGGTACAATAGTGGCTTCTAGCTCTAAATGGTCACACCACAATCCCTCTCCGGAGTGCTCCTCTGTCCTCTCCTCTCTGGCTGTCTCGAGCAGTCTAGGAGAGTGCGACCCCACACCAACCCCAAGCCCTAAATAGCTGGGGCTTTGGCCATAAGAAGTTTGAGGACAGGAGGAAGAAACTCAGGGAAGAGCCTCTAGCCCCCTTCAGCTTCTGCACGGCTCTACCCTCCACGGCCCACATCCTCCCCCTCAGCCACCTGCTTGCTTTTCCTATGGCCGAGGGAACATTTACCGGTAGAGTTCCCACTAGGTTGATGTGGACCATAAATTCTTTTAATAAACAGCTGTATATATAAGAGGTTGCTGTGTTCCAGTCAGTAGTGGGGAAAGGGGAAAGGGGAAATGAGACTCGGAAATACACCCAAGTGTTTCTCTGTCCCCTTCGTCTCTGTCCCCTCCTCTGCCTCCCCTCCCCAGCAGCAGCGCTGGTCTGAGCAGAGGAGGGATGCAGATGACATGGCTGCCACCCTCTGAGCGGGATGAGCGAGTGGATGTTTATCTAATGAACACTTCTCAGCTTATGAGGGGGGATGACAGTCAAAGGAGGTGCAGTGGAGCTGCCCTGGGCCCTGGATGCTCGTCTCCCCACCCCACCACTAACAGCCTGTGTGGCCCTGTGCAGTTCTCTCCGCCTTGTGAGGCTGGGGAGTCCTTGTGGGTGGGTGTCCAATAACAAGGAGGTAATTTTGCCTCAAACAGCCATATGACTCCTTACGGCACGAATCTGCATGGCGACGTAAGAAGAAACAGCACGGACTTGATGATTACGGAAAGTGTGGCTTTGGTGTGACCACGTCCACCTTCCTTAGAGGGGGCACCACCAGCAAGGAGAGGCCGTGTGGGTTGGCCTGCAGTTCAGGCTGTGTGGGCGGCCACTTGCTTCGTCCACTTTGCACTGCCAACCAGCAAACACACATCTTACACCCTGATCCGAGAATACTCACCTGTCACCTGAGCAGGCAACGGGCAGCTCCTGGGTGCTGGCTGGAAGAAGGAACAAAGAAGAAAGGGGCCGTGGGAGGGGTGGAGCCTTGGCCCTCACCACTTCTCCCCGCTCCACTCTCCTTTCCTGTCTTCTTCCTTTCGCCCATCACACACCTGTCACTCTTTTGGTGTCAAAGAGGGAAACATCAGAAATAAGGTACTGCAGCTTTGCTTCAGCAAACTAGCAGCCACCGTCTCCTGAGGCAGCTCCGGGCAAGTCACTGTCAGGAAAACAAACGAAAGCATCAGATTCTGTGGTAGAGATGACAGATAAATTGAGAACACCAGACTGACAGAGCCGGCAGAACCCTGCTGGAGTAAATGCCAGGTTCTGCAGTTTTACCTGGAGGAACTAAAAGTAGGCAAAGGAAACATGAATGAGGAAATCCCAGAAAGGTTGACGTTCACAATTTTTTTCTGACGATGGCACATATGGGAGATAAAAGTCACCATGACCCACCTTCTGCTAATTCATTTACATTTTTTTTTTGAGACAGAGTCTCACTTTGTTGCGCTGGCTAGAGTGAGTGCCGTGGCGTCAGCCTAGCTCATAGCAACCTCAAACTCCTGGGCTTAAGCAATCCTACTGCCTCAGCCTCCCAAGTAGCTGGGACTACAGGCATGTGCCACCATGCCCGGCTAATTTTTTCTATATATTTTTAGTTGTCCAATTAATTTCTTTCTATTTTTTTTAGTAGAGACGGGGTCTTGCTGTTGCTCAGGCTGGTCTCACTCCTGAGCTCAAACAATCCGCCCGCCTCGGCCTCTCAGAGTGCTAGGATTATAGGCGTGAGCCACCGCGCCCGGCCCATTTACATTTTTAAGAGGAAAAATACCTTATGATAGCAAATTAGTAGAGAAGAACAAAATAAAAATTCAAAAAGTTATGTAGATAGCACATCTACCGAAACAAAATAAAGTAAAACCTAATAGTCATTCTATAAATACATTTAACATATTTAAAACATAAAATAGTTCCAGTGGAAAAGCATCACCAGCGTAAGACAATCTTGGTGATGTAATAATAACAAAGTGCCCCCCTGAAATTACTGAAATGCCAATAATCTGTGTGGGCCCGTGCACAGGGGAGCTTCCTAACGTTCCCAAGCATAGATAAGCAGCCACTCATCTTATTACATGAAGGCTGCGGTAGTCTGTAGTTAACTCTAGAAGTGTGAGGATTTTCATTTATGTCTATGAAATTTTAGTAATCCTCAGTAATTCACTGAGCAGGTATATCACTCAACAAATCTTTACTGAATACATGCTGTGTGCCAAGAACTCATTTTAGGGGCTGGGAACCCAACAGTGAAGAAAACAGATAAAATTCTTTGCCATCATAGAGCATGCATTTCAGCAGGCCTGGGGAGTGAAGGTAGACCAACAATAAACTAAATAAGTAAAGAATGTAGTATGAGAAGATGACAAGTGCTGTGCTGAGAATATAAAGCCAGGAAGGGGCATAGGGAGAAGGCATGTGTTGGGTACGCATGGAATAGCTCATGTGCTTTCTGTTGGTCACAACTTACAGCCAGTCTGTCTCAAGTTAAAAAGAGAATTTATGGGTTATGTTACTCCACAGTTCATAAGTATATTTGAGTTTCAGGTATAACTTGACCAACAGCTCAACAAAGTTCCCAGATGGAGTTTTCTTTCTCTATTTTTGACCATTTTTTGCTGGTGATTAACTTCCTTATCAGGCCCCATCTAGTCACAATATAGTTGCAGCAGCTCCAGCCCTCACCTCTACAGGGAAAGTGGTTCACAGCCATCAAACAAAAGCCTCCAAAATTAAGCCTCTTTGTCCAAGCATGGTCTGACGTGACTTATGTGCTCATTCCCCAATCACTGAGGCCAGGAGGATGGAATATGATGATAACTTAGCTAAGTTACATCACATGTACTTCCTCTAGAGCCCAGGAGTTTACTCAGCTTCACCTCAAAGGCAGGACCACCACTGGCCCATATGGTGCCTTTGTAGAACTGAGAAAAGGATACCCCTTTTTCCATAGGAACACACAGCCCCGCGGACTCACAGGACCAAAGCAGGCTAGATTTTAGTCCCTACTTGCCCCCTTAGCTGTGTACTTTCGTGTAGTGCTGAAGCTACACAGCCCTGTCTCTGTGGCCTGGCCAGTACACATGTGCTGAGAGTGGGGCAGGGTGGTTCTCTGCCCAGGAGGCCAAGGGTCATCCTTTGGGAAATTCTGTCCTAAGGCCCTACTGTAAGACTTTAAAATCAGGAGTCTGAACTGAGACTGGAGAAGCACCTGATGTGAGAAAGAGAAAATTCAGGTGTTGTTTCCTGAGATGTACCCACCTATATAAGACTCCAGCCAGGGCCTGTGGAAGTTTATCATAGTGGGAAGAGCAAAGGGTTCAGCGTTAAGCCACTCAGGATCTGTGTGACTCTGCCTCAAACTGGCTGTGTGACATCGAGCCTGCAGTGTCTGAGCCTTTGTTTTCTTTTCTCAGGGATTTGAGGATTAAATTAGTTGAGATATGTGAAGAGTTTGAAATGCAGCCTGGCACGAGTGCTTAACGAATATTATTGTCACCATTGTAAATCTTTGTGATCTCAAGTATATGTCTCTCTTCCAAATCACAGCTTATTTATCTATAAAATGAGAGCCTGGAGCTAAATTGTAATGCTTACAGGGTCCAGAAGATATGAATAAGTGCAGGGGCCTGATATAGGGCATTTAGAGCTGGGAAACCAGCATGCAGATCAATTTCTTTCAGCTCTGTGTGAGCCAAACAGTGCAGATCTGTTGATCTTGCCTGTGGGGGCCAGTTGAAAACCCTGGAAGGAACAATCCCTTCCGGCTTCAACGTTATCTTGTTCTATTTGTATTTGGGTCATACAGTTTCTTAAATCAGGGGTCAGTCTCTAATGTCACTAGGATACTCACTTTGTCAGCACATATTCTAAAATTGGACTGATAACAGAGATTAGCATGGCTCCTGCGCAAGGATGACAGGCAAATTCATGAAAAATTCCAGTTTTCAAAAACAAAATGAAATAAAATTTTAAAAAGTTGCTGGAAACTTTCGCAAAAGTTAAAATAAAGAATATGCACAATAAAATAAAAGAATATGCACAATAATGATGGATCAGATGTGTACTACTTGAGAACAGTCATTCCAGGCTGTGTTGCAACCAAGGGATAGGCAGTACAGATGTATAAACAAGTTATGAAAGTAGAAGTTTATGACCAATCTCAAGGCTCTGCCCTGCAGCACGAGGGCCCCATGAAGACAGTTGGAGAGGAAGTTTTAGGGACAAGGTAAGGCAAAAAGGATTTGCAAGTGGAAGCTTGGATTTGGGAGTATTACCAACCAATAGTATTTAAACCATTTTAAGGCTCGAGAATATAGTACGATGTCATAGTAAATACATAGTAAATAGTAAGTACCAGATTGATTAATCATGTCTAATTTAATACTATTATTGCTTCAAAAAATTTTAAGGATAGAATTAAGACAATTAAGACAATCGGGTCTAGAATCTCATAACCCAAAAGAGTACGTTACAGATGATGCATTGATTTTCATTGAAACATAATAATTATCACAATAACTATGAATAGATATTGTAAAAGTAAAAGGGAGATTAACATAGGGAAAAAAAGGAAATAAACATCCCAATAGGAATTGCTCAAGGAAACTATGGGGGAAATCAGAAAAATAATTCTCCATTCATTCAAATAATTATTGCAGATAATGTGATAACCACTCCATGCCTTACTCCCAATAAGAGTTTAAAGAACCAAAAATAAGGGGATCTGGCAGAATTCTAGAAAGAAAAGGAAAAAAGAAATTAGCATTAAGTTGAGAGCTTGAGTAGAAATAATAAAAGGGAGAAGAATATTACCAAGAATATCATGTGGCATGGTGAATTGGCTTGAGGCAAT